CACTCCTATTTTTAGCAATTTTTTTCTTTGGCTTACAGTTTCGTTCACATAGAGAATGACAAGTATAAACTTAAATTGAACTTGCAATATGAAACAGGTTAATACATTTGAGAAACGGACTGTGGAAACTGTTGCCAACATTTGCAGTCCTGTTGTGCTATTTGCCAATCATCTGTGTTTCAGTGAATTACGGTGGTAATGCTACTAGATGCTCCGTAATGAACTTAGTGGATCTCGCCGGTAGTGAAAATGCGGCTTCTGCTGGAACGCAAGGATTGAGACAGAAGGTCATTCGACGATTACAGTTACACTACAATTTCTAAGATTCAAATTTATCAGTTTAGGAAGGAGCCAATATTAATCGATCTCTGCTGGCCCTTTCGAAAGTGGTTTCTAGTCTTGCTGATAATCAGTGAGTTACAGATTTCTGTCGTAGAGCAGTTACAGCTCAAACAATTGGCTCATTTCAGAAAGTTCGTCCCGTATCGTGACTCCAAGCTCACTCGCATTCTTAAGCCGTCATTAGGTGGAAACTCCAAAACAGTCATCATTTGCTGTGTTGCTCCGTTCTCAGTAGCAGAGACAAGCTCAACTTTGAAGGTTTGCTGCTTGCTTGAATTATTGGCATTACTGCAATATCGTGCAATTCTTGTTTTCAACTTTTTGTCTTTATTTTGCAGATATCTGCCAAAATCTTCGTGTTCTAAAATAGCGATCTTTTAGGGCTTCCACCTTCAACCTTTATCCAGATAAATTTCACTTGATCAGTAACAGGTGGTGCCGCTAGGAGGGCACATGGATTTCGACCAACTCAAAAGTGGCTAACAATTTTTTGGCTCTTTGCCTATGTTTCTGACATAAGCTGGTCTTTGTTCCTTAGAGAGAAGCGCTCAAAAAATGGAAATAAAGTCTAAAATGCGAGCGGGTAACGGTTTTCCGCGAGTATTTTTAATTTGTCGTCCTCCGCCCACGCTCGTGGTGTAGAAACTTGTGCCCAGCATGTTACTTGATCAATGAAGGCACTTTGCCCATTTTTGTTCAGGGTGCCAATATGTAAACTCTTGCAAAGAAAACACTTATCAGATGCGGCCATTTGGTTTCATTATTTGTA